CCCCCCCCCCCGCCCCTCCTAGTACCCCATTTCCATCCCTTTCCATGTGTTGTCTATCCACAGCTGTGCAACGCAACGGCGGCATCAGGCTATCATGCCGCACAGCTACATACACCCGCACCTACGTACGCGTGCACTCGGAGCTTCTGTTTGATTTCCACATATACCATAGTGCGCATCGGATATTACACAAATTAGCACTTGACTAAACCTTATTACTCCTCCTTGAAGTCTGAATGGACTCCCACAGAGTGCTATAGCAAATGTTGCACTCCCCCCCCCCCTCCCCTCCCCCAAATTATCTAGACTCTCTCCAAAACAGCAAAGCACAGGAAATGTCGTGCAGTAATATGTTTTACTGAAAATGCTTAGTAATTTTGGGCACACTTAGTGATGATTTGGGCGAATATCGATCGTTGATTAGCCATTGCAAGCACGTCGTGCTTACTCAATAAGGCGTCGGTAACATGACGCACTTTCCAGAATGTTCTAGCGCGCGAGTGATCTAATTGGTCAGCCTTGGTAGTGCTGTACACTCCACAAGTGTATGGTTAGAGTCTCGCTCTTGCACATGCGCTAATTATTAAATTGCTGTTTTTATGAAGAGAATTTGATCTTCTAGAGCTGTGCTGATTTTCATCTGTGCTGTGCCTAAGTGTGTGTGTGTGTGTGCGACCTAGATTCAGCTTACAGCACTAGCACACACAGTTGCTTAGCTAGCTGGCTGAAACATGTCAAATCAAACCAGCGTTTGTTTTTCCCCTCAATAAAAGCTTTGTTACTATTTAGACATCAATAAAACGGTATTCGAACGCCGTCTAAGTGAAAATCAATCTTGCTCTTTAATTCACAATTTATGATGTGATGTAACCATCATAATTAAAGATTGGTTTTTCTCTCGATCTAAATAGCCAAACTTTCATTTTGCTATTAGTAAGTGGTGAGGTAATTAAGCTTCACACCTGCATACAGACGTTAAACAAGCTAGTTGGCGAGGCGATAGGAAAACTTCCGCAAGTGAAAGATCGTTTGTATTCAGTGGCGAGGTATTAGGCTCCAGGCAAGCGGATATAAGGGGGGAGGAGGAGGAAGTTACTGGTTTACCTAAAACGCTCTCGCTCTTCTATGCCCACTTTAAAGTTGACATGGCCTGATGCGAACCCAGATTTTGATGTTGGCATGGACTAAAATTTATCCTACTCTCGCTCTTTTGCATATATTTACGTGGCCGATACTGCATACATACACGGAAACAAACGGCCTTTCTCGTCCAGAAAATTGCTGATATCTCTACTGCTACTGCATGGGAGAGAGTGAGAGAGACTGGGATGGAAAGGAAGAGTGGGAGCGGGGAAACGGACTGGTTAAAGGAGGCGCGGGGGGGGGGGGCGGGGTGCTGTCTTGCATAACTTATGCACACACGCAGTAGCCTTTTATACGTACAACTGCCCCTAACAGCAGCAACTCCAAATAGTACTGTGTACAATTCTTCCCCTCCCCTCCCCCCTCCTCTAGTTTGCTGTCTGAAATGTTGTTTGAGTGAAGAGGTAAATAGCTATCTACTTGCTAGCTAGCCGACCCTTTTAGCACCCAGTGTTTAGGGGGGAGGGGGAAATGCTGGGTGTGGAGTAGCTAAGTAGAAATGGGCGGATTTTAGAAGTTTTTATCCTGTCCCTTCCTCTCTTGCACTCAACCACCTGGTAAATGACAGCATTTAATACTCACCTCTATCGCTAATATTATCATCCGATTTGTTGGCTTGCGATGAACGCTTCGGAAGCCTTGTTTTTAATTGTGTATGCTCATAGTGTACTCATTTACTGAGTTAGGTGGTCAATTTCTGACCTGACCTTGAGCAGTGATTTTGTGATCGTTTTATACTTGTGCCGATAAACTCGCTTTATGGTGAAGATAGAGAGAGAGTGAGAGTGATGAAGCAAGCTGTAGTGTACTTTGACTTTGTGAAGCCCTTGACCTTAAAGCCTCTCGTGTAAACATGTTGGACATGAGTGAACGAGGTCATCTATCATCCCCCAGAGAACGAGAGGGTCTATCTTAACCTCCTTTTCTCCTATTTTCTTTTCGTTTTTCTCCCTGCCTATTTCCCTGCTCTAATTCAATTACGCATTTCCTGAGATAGAGGGAAGAGGGGAGTAAATTGAGTCCCTAATTTTCTCCCTTTCCTTGAGCGTGGATCAATCACTTCTAATTGGGTAGCACACACTACACGCTAAATCCCATGTTTTCCTGAGTACTCTAGTTGACTCCCTTTTTCTTTCTCGACTCGCAAAACATAAGAGTTGGATTTCATATGGTACTGTTTTTCGCCACAGTTTAGTGTGTTGCCAATAGTTACCCCTATTGGTTTTTGTGGTCTCTTCAACACGGTTTTTCCTGCGTGCAGGAAAAAGGAAAGAGGAACAGATGTAGATGTAGTGGTATGTGCTGCTGCTGATGCTGATGCTGCTGCTACTGATCGAAAACGCGGGATGCGTTTGATTTTCCGTCCCATACACAGCGATACCGTAGAGGTGATTCACCATAACCTGAACTAGCCCGGTCAACCAACACGACTGGTACTGCTAATACTTGTGCGCATCGACAAAGCACAAATTCTTACCAGTCTACTTATAAAACTACTTAATAGAGTGAAAATGGAGTTTGTTGGAGGTATGTTGCGTAATTCTAATCCACCTTACAGTGGCATAAATCATGCTGATTTATGGTCTATTCGTTTGAGTAAAGCAAATACACATAAACCCATGCCACATTACGTCTGGTGAGGTGTGGTGCGCTACTATTCCTGTGAGTGTGATAGAAGGCTTTTTTTTCTGGGGCTGCGGTAGTACTATTAACAGTAGCAATAGTAAGGTAATAACTTCCTTTTACTCTTCTGTCTTCGTGATGATTTACTATCACACGCCGGAGCGTCACAAACAAACAAATATCCATGCATGCATGCTTACATACATGCATACATACATACATATATACATTCACATGGTGCTGTTCCGTTTTATGCTAATTGTGACCACCAGAAACATGCATTAACCCTACCCTGGGGAGAAATATAGTTGTAATGTCTGCGTCTTTTCTGATGCCTCAAGCATAGTTGAATTGCTTCTCGATTTCATTTACATTCTGGTGTTTTACCCAGCCATACTCCAACCTTGGCTTCCGCCGTATTACCTTTTGCAAGTCTTAGTATCGTTTTCTTGGTGATTATAGCCCGTATCTATTAAACGGTAGGTGCACATTAAATCTATCTCGCAGATTTAGTAATCATTAAACTATTATTTTGATGTTATTAATTATAAAGGATCCTTGCACATAGTAATCATTGCTTAGTGAGGAGTTTTAATAATTGCCCACCTCTTGCCTATTTAACCAGACAGTTTATTTTAAATTTTCTTTAATAGGTAACTTCTCTTTTATTACTAACTCCAATGACCGTTTTTATCGATTTTTTGTCTTTGATTGCAACGCATTTTCTTCTCAACCTTCTGTGTGGCTTTACTCGTGCAGTTTTGGTAATGGATAAATCCAAAGTTTTTCTTAGTTGGAAGGGCGTAAAACATACCACATAATTTGGTAATCGATATTGGAAAAGTTATTTTGTTTGTCATCTTCATTATAGAACGTAACATATTCACTGATTTTGGGGAAATTTTAAGTCATCAATTCCATTCGCTTGCTTGTGATCACGACACTCTAGTATAATCGGTTATTTTGCCGCATAGGATTTTCAGTTGGCCTAGATTTCTGCTACTCAATTATCAGTGGGGCAATCCTATCTCCTATTGGAATTTTCTAACCCAACATGGTTTCTGTTCGCTTTCGTGGAGGCTCGAGAGAGGGAGAGAGAGAGAAAGCACGCGTTAGTGCGGAGGTGTAATCGAGCGGCATGCTCGCAGCAGCAACAGAAGGGTTGAGATCGAGCTGTTTTTGATCATGGACACAGAGGGAGGGTTGGGTGTGCTGTATGACCGTTTAAATTGAAAAAGGTGGAAAGAGGGACTAGAAATTGGTTAAGGGACTGGGGTGGAACGATAGGTTATTGAAGTGCCCTCTTTGGCAGGCGCACACTCCTGGTGGCCATATATATTGCCTCTTATTTGAAATCTCCTCATTTGCTCTTTTCCATGAGATCTTATCTTCTGATAGGATCAACTGTCCATCAAATTGAGGGAAATGAGAAGTGCTGTCTTCCTCACTTTTAGATAGAGTTTTTTTCACTATTTTTTTTCCACATCCTTATTTCTTACAGATGAATGTCTGTAAGAGGAGAAGGCGTGGGATGTAATAACTTTTTCATGCACATGCTCATGATTATCCTTTCTCGCTGTTTCTTTCACACCTACACAAATGGACACACGCACTAAACCCACGTTGAGAGAATCCTAAATGGACGACAACATTGACGTCGCCCATGGCGATTGATAGAACTAGTGACGCCCCATTCTAACTCAGGCAAGGAGAGAAAACAGCATGCTTTTTTAGCGAAAACCCCTCTTTCTCTAATGCTAAGTTAAAGTCTAATCTCTCTCGAAACTCTCATGAGAAAAAGTTACTCATCCTATCACGTGATATTAAGGTAAATCGATTTGGGAAGCACTTTCCTTTGAGGGGTTTTGAGAGGGCGTGACGTTTTCAACTTCCCTCCCTCATTAGGTGAGTCATAATAACGAGCGGTTTTATTTGGTTACCTTTCCTGTTTCGTATCGGCTACTTTTTAGCCTGCAGCTTCCATTAAGTGGAGGAGGGTTGATTGTCATGTCTTTGTTATGAGCAATATGTTATCGCATGAATTTACTTGTTTATGCACCTGAACAGAGGCAGTGCGTCAAAACAAGGTGTAGAATCTTTGTGATGAAGCGGCATTTCATAGGTTGCAAGGGAGAAGTCAAAATTTTGTTTTCGCTTATTAGTAGTTGTTCTCCCTATTATCAATTGTGCATCGTCTGTGGGCTGTGAGATTCGATCCGTCTCTTCTTGTGCGCGCACCACGATTGCAAAATAAGGAAGAGAAATATGAGACTGGGTGCTATGTGCTGCTAGGTGATGTATCTTTGACCTACTTAGAAGAAAAACCGGAATTACGACACATTGTGGGCTTCAATGGTCTCACACATATCTCATCGAGGTAGTTCCTTACATTGCCATCACTGCGGTAGTTTATTAAATGTTGCAATACAAGGATAGTCATTTATCGATGTCTGATTTTCGATAGGGAAGTAAAGCATTAAATTACCGTGAATCTGTTTCAACAGACTCAGTAAACGAGAATGAAAGGTAATTCGCGGATGCGAGGAGATGTGTTTTTGACAATCAAACGGGGAGGCACAACTGAGGACTGTCATGGATTATAATTCCGAAATAGGCGGAAATAATGGGTAAATTTGCGAAAATCCTATCGACTTCCTATAAGCTATGAATTTGTAGATGGTCGATGACTGTTCTCAATACACACTCACATGTTCGTTAAGACTATTCTGATAATCTAATTTGCCTGATTTCCTTTTCTCTTTTGGTCTAATGTTCATTTTCTTCCAAGTTTATTTGAGTAAGCCTTGGGGTGTCAAAAATGTGTAGAGGAATATTTGACATTCAGAATTTTGTAATTTTTTTTCCTTTGGATAAAAAATTTCTTTAGAATTTGTTTGGGCAGTTGCTCATTGCCTCATTTTTTTTTCAAGTTTTTAACTGCATTTTTTTTCCGTCTAGGTGAAATGAAATCCGACGCGTTCCTACAATTCCGATCGAATAGCTTCAAGGATCGGTCACCTCAATCACGAGGAGGAAATATGGAACCGAACGACAACCATGTAAGCTTTTTCCCCTCTTCTCTATCTCTCTTGTTTGTGATTTTGTGTTCTCTCTTAATTCGCAACAACCATCAGCACACAGCACATGAGGTGGGGGAGGTGGGGGGTGGTTGCTGGTTGTGTTGTGTTTCGGCGCCATTGAATTTACGCACTTATCTCTTTCCTCCCTCACTCACCCTGTGATCTCATTTGTGTTGTGTGTGTGTGTGTGTGTTCTGCTGCTTCGTATGAGATCTAATCGAGTCAGATATTTGGCCCCATACTTTATTTCCTTATCCGCACTTGAATCTAGGTCCAATTCTATTTCCCTTAGCAAATGTAGTTTCCTGATTATTGGTGACTAAGTTGTGTTTTGCAGTACGCAAATTTTGAAATCAAAATGTCATTTGTAACCTCTCTTTTAAAGTTCCACGAAAGTGGTGTGGTATTTCTTTTTAATTAGATTTGGAGCACTCGTTTCGCTCCGGGGGCCAATTTTACTTAACGTTTTCATATTTTGATAAAGTCGATAATTTCAAAGCTCTAGTCAATTAGAGAAATTGCGGAATTGCAGTTGGGCTTTGCCCTTCTCACTCCTCTGTAAAACTTTTTATACCGGTAGATAATTTTGTGCTCTATTGTGCTGAACATCAGTTTAAAATTTGAGTAGGAAAAATGTTCGCCATGCCAATCGGGTATGCATTGCCTAAGATAAGCATTTTGTCAATCCACTAAGCCTTTAGCCTACGAATGCAACCACCAAAGAATCCACTTATTTCTCTCCTCATTTGTTGCTGTTTACTAATCAATATGCTTGCTTATAATTCCCTAACATGCGTAGTTGTGATGCAGCCTACTTGATATATACTTATGCATTACCCTTTTCTATCCTATATTATGGGGAAGGAGGGGGGCATTTTCGAGGCAATATTCTCGGGGTTAGTTATGAGCGGCACACGGTGTATACGCGTGCTTCCTCTCCTCCTTGCCAGCAGACTGAATAGGAGGTCATTAATCATTCCTGACTTGAAGGTTGGGTTGGGCGGGGACTCCAAATCAGAAAGCGATGTGTAACAGCCGCTACAGTAGTAGTAGCAGTAGTGGCATAAGTAGTCGTACTGTAGGTGTGCAGTAGCAGTGACAGCAGAAGGACCGTGTCCAGTCCCTCCTTTTTTTCGATTTCCCTTCTCTTTCTACCAGTCACATGACAACAACGTCCGACCACTACTTCTTCCTCTGCTATGCCAGAAGAAGTAATTCCGACATCATGATGAATTATGCCTCCGTGAATGTTGAAGGGAAAGACTGGGATGAGAAGGCAACGTGCAGGTAAAAAAAGGGAGATGTAACTCTCTCTCTCTCTCTCCCTCGGTTCGAAAACACTGCGGTGTTTCTGGTAGTACACAAGACACTTTAGAGACAGCGGGGGGGGGGGGGGGGGGGGGGGGGCTAGGCAATTCTCTGGTCTAGTTTTGTCTGCCCGATAGTCTGGCGAAATTGCAAAGAGGAGAGCGCTTGGGAGAAAGGAGCGGAATTCTGCAACAACGAGAAAAAACCCCCCAACTAGATCCCAAGTCGTTTTCACCTTTCTCCTTTTCTCTCTCTGAGCGGTCTTGAAAAAAAGTTAAAGCCAGATCTTTGCTCTGCTAAACTCATCGCTTGTACTTATTTGGATCATTGGAGGTGTCTAACCTTGAAGCCTCCTCCAATCGGCTGGATAACGTTTATGACTAGGGCAGGTGTGCATCCAAAAGTCTCTTCAATGAAACTGATTCTATTGTGAGCAGGCAATTCTAATTTCTTGAGTTTTAGAGACATTTGTGCGGGAATTTTACAGATAAATGGGAGATTGAGTCATTGCACTCAACTTGTTGAACATCTGAATGCACCGTCAATGCGTACCTTTAATGTTCTTTTTGGAAACTAGGGTGGCGAGGGATTTTGTTATGGATTTCTCTTTGAGAAGTTGACTTTGACATTATCTTTTTTATTTCTTCTATATTGAAAAAGTTATCAATCGCCTTTTCTTGCAAAATGAATTCGTTTCCACTTTGAGATTATCTCGATGATAAGGTAGTGTGCTTGTCTGTGAAGTTAGAGGTCACATTCTCAGTGACTAGAGTGGCCAACTGCGCATTTATAAGCAAAGAGGGTAGGGCTGAATCTGACTTTCTCACCAAGGAGGGTTCCATGTATCTATCGCTTCATTCAAGATGAGTGTTTTAGAAAGTGCTTTCCCGAGTGTGTGGCTGGTTTGGATTAACCCATATATATCTGCGAAGTTAGGCTCCATGAGATCAGCACTCCTTGGTGCATATCCGCAGGAAGGTGAGGGGAATTCGAGTTCTTCATAGTAAGAGTTTCAAGAAACTCCCCCCCCCTCCTCTACCCACGCCGAGTATTTTGGACACTTCCTAATGGCGTTGAGAGTTGTTTTGTCTTATCGCGTAGATACCGGATCTGTCATTCAGCAACCTTGGCTTTTGTTTGACCTAGACTCTGCGCTTAAGTAGCGAAGGTCTATCTATAAACTAAATTGGCCTAGGTATTTTCTTCGATCGTTTTTGTTTCCCTCTCCCCCCCCCCCTCCCCTCCCCTCCTCCACTACTAAGTCGAGCATATTAATTAGCTTTATTACGGTTATCTACGCAAAAATAGGTGAATGGGGTTGTGTGATCTGTAAGTATGAATAAGATTGAGAGCCGGTATTTTTCCGCTAATGCACACAGCAGTGCTCTCCTATTACCGCCAGCATTACTACTTCGTCGTCACATGAGCTCTTTTTGTGTTGTTGTGATCTCTTGAGTAAAAGACAGGAATATGTGCTCACAAGTTTGTGTGCGCGCCTACTTCACTGTGAGCTCTGACCTTTTCGTGAGTGGGAATGTAATTGTGGTTTTTTAAGTGGGTGTGAAGTTGGGTGGTGGGGGTGGGGGGTGGGGAGGGGGGCCAAATGGTGGGTGATAGGAAGTTGCGTGGGTTAGATCTTCAGGGGTTTGCTTCTTCTTGGCTACTTCTACTACTGCTGCTGCTGCTGCTTTCACATTTTCTTGTTTGGTCCTTCAAGGTGTGTGAATTCACGCCCTCCTCTCTCTCTCTCTCCCTTATTTTAACCATTCGGTGCCAAATTATATTCGTGAGTCGTAATTGAAGGTTCAGACTTCAATGTCTTGTGATCGAAATAATGATCCAACTTAATTAGACTGCAATTGGTTCATTCAGTTGTATTGATTAAGTGAGAAGTTTAGAATCAAATCCTGTTGAATGATTGAGTATTATCTCAAGAGTCCTACTCTCTGAATATTGTGATTCAGGTCGTCATTGTGTATTTACAATTAAGATAAATCAAGAGGAGTGTCTCATTAGATTCATTTAGATTTGGTGTTGTTTATAGCGACGAACACAAATAGCTGGATGAATGAGGAAGGCCTTCGTAGCATCTTTTTCCCTTCAAAAGTTGTATCAGTTAAACGTGTGATCAGTTAGTCTCTCTGGTTAGGATGGAAGCTTCTTGTAGATTGCTATTTAATCATCCACGACAGGGGTCAAAGTAAGTTGTCTGTTAAACTATTTGTGAAATAGGCATCAGTTTTAAGTTTACTGAAGGGAGATATTCTAGTTCTAGATAGTAGGAATAAGTTTTTTTCAAGTGGCAGGAGTTTTGATGGTTATAATTAGCCCCTTAGCTGACTTCTTTCCTCACAGAGTGAGAAAAATTTAAGAGTGATTCATAGTTGTAACAGAGACAGACATACAGTCACAAGGGCAGAGAAAAGGTAAGATGAGTACTGTATAGTGGTCAATTATAACATACTGTGGGGCCATGGTGGTTTGAATTCAGAAGTCAACTGCCAGTTTATAGACTTTTTGTCGTATAAGTATGCGTTGCCCAGGGTGCACCACGTGGAAGTAAGTCTATCGTACACCCCTGACGTGGAATTATAATTCTCGTATTTTCTTGGACTGTGTTTGAGGGGAGTGAGGGGCGGGTTGGGAATAAATTCGAGTTGACCTCAGTTTAAGAGCTTATTTATGTTCATAAACAATGTCTTGCGTTCATCTCTATTGTTATAATCTCTAATGCTTTTGTTAGCATAAGAACTTCACCCTCCACCACGAAGACGCCTATCAATAACTTTTTTCTTGTTCCTCCGTCAATTCGTTGGCTGAAAGGAGCATTATATCATATCCCGATTCGAAGGTGTGTCGGTTGGGTTTTCATTATCCGGTCATTAAGGCATAATTTCAGGTACTTGAAAGAGGTAGAGATTTGGCGGTGATTTCGAACCTTGTGTGCATGTGCAAATGAACTGAATCTAGTTTCGAGAAAGCTAGAGGGAATGTGTAAGAGGCTATTAGCAAAATCGCAGTTTAGCTAGTTAGTTCGGTTCGATGCACTTTTCAAAGACCCGGTACAAGCTTTGCCAACTTACGCACACGCGCGCATACGCATACTACGACACACTTCAAAACAATCAGTGGTAATCATGTATCATCTGACTTCAAAAGCAGATTCCACCACTTGTCTTCATTCGAAATCTTAATCAATCTTTCCTGATAGATATTGAGTGAAAAATGTCGCATTCTCTGTGTGGTTCAGACATGACTAGAAGGCACCTTTTCGGCCTAATTTGGTCATTCGGACCCCAAATGTCAACGTCGACTTTAGCGCTAGCATCTTAATCGTCGTCGACGTACGCCCAACACATAAATCCAAGCCGGAGACACGTTCGCACTTATGCGTGCGCTGTACGCGTTAGCAGCGTTCTGTCTTTAGGACATGTGCGGCCGTGTGTGTCACACACACAATGATTGCTCTTGTGTGTTTGTCACACTCAATGCTAGCGCGTCTCAGTCAGATGTTACAATCTCTCTCACTTATACACGCACGTTCGCACTTGTATGCACGCACACGCAACTGTTACCTCACGCACGCCCGAGAACGAGGCTTGCTTGTTATCTGGGTCATACCAGGCAAGCAGGCTACTGTTATTTTTTGCTGTTACCCTGTTTTATACTCTTTATTATCATCATTCTCTGCAAGAGCAAGTATTGGGATTTCCGTCTCTCTCTCTCCCTCTCAAGGGAGAAGCTTTCAGCGCCTAGGGATTGGAGTAGTGCTTGCTTACTTGGTTGCTTCTCTGGTGGTCTGTGTGTATGACTTACTATTGGCTAATCTCTTAATGGGGGGGGGCGTGGAGTGAAGAGGAAAGGAAGTGTGTAGACAGGCAACCATAAAACTGACGGATTGAGTTGGGAATTGGAATGGAGGAGTATAGGGGGGGGGGGGGGGGGGGGAGGTAGCAGAAATGATGAAGTGATTAATTTTCCACAAGCAGTGTTGCAGGAGCAACGGGACAATACTTAGTCAATGTTGACTCAGCCGATGTTTACTCTCAGTCCCCTTGCTTTGTCCTTGGGGGCATGCAGAGGGAATTCTTCAGACAATCCTCCTACGAAATCATTTCCACTATTTAATTCTTTTCAAGAGGAGGGCTTTAAAGAAAAATCCCTATGCTTCAACGTTGCCCCCTCCAGATGGTTTAATTTTCTGGCTTTGTTGACTCTCTTTAGTTAGAATTCGCTTGACTATTAAACATATTTTAGTTATATTTATCTACACCTCTCTCCCTCTCTGTTCAGTCACGTTTTTTGAGGATTCAAACCTATTTTATTCGGTAAACTCGTTTTATAAGGGCAGTTACTGTATTATTGTTTAGCACAATTTCTTGGTGCGTCTGTGCGTAAATATCGATTTTCATTTTTATTTTGGCTCATCAACCACCCAACTTGCTTTCTTAAAAGTTCCTAGTCTAGTAGGTTTGTATATGTTAGTATGGCTTATTCCTTCGGTTTCTCTTAATATGGGAAGAGGTCATCGATTTCTTGATTTCCATACTATCTTCAGCTTACGTGATGAAATCAGCTAAAAACCATCGTTTTCGAACTCTAACTTCTGAGCCATCTAGACTATTCCCAAGGAATATCTTCACGTAACTGTCTTCGTACAATTACTTTATCTTAACTTGAGAAATATGGTTCAAGAGAGAATGTGAAAAAAGTAGCAAGAGATATCAAAAGCAGTGCAGTAGAAAAGAAGAAAGTCATGAAAGACTGAGATCCAATTAGAGAGAAGAAAGCTAACTTCTAGCAGCCTTGTGTGGGTTGTCAGAGAGTGTGTATGTATGTATGTGTGTGTGAAAGCAAACAAGAGCTAACTTAGCCAGCTAGCTGGGGCATGAAAAACATTCTCGCCTATGCTGGTGAAACGAACAAACATACCATCTTCTCTCGAGCCCAGGTAAGCTAACGAAGAGGGTTGGGGAAGGAGTGGGGAGAACAAACACACACACACACACACACAAATAAGTCACCCAGGCAGTCAGCAAACCTAGGGGAAAAAGTAGCAGTAGCAACACTGCCAGTCGTCCCCAGTTCTCCGAAAAAATTCTCTGACAGTGCAGCAGCAAGTTGCGACCACAGCTAGTCTGCACTATGGCTACCAGTAAAAGCACATGAGGTCTGTGTCGTCTTCGTCTCCCAATAATCGAGCTGCTGCTACTGCTGCTGCTGCTGGAAAAGCAAGCGTCTACTTTTTGCCTATCTACCCCCCCCCTGCTCCTTTCTCCTCTTTCTTCTACACTCTTCTCACTGTGTAATAGGTTTTATGTGTAAACAACTATGGCTCCCTTAGTCTCCCCCTACCCACCCTCATTAGTGTTTGCCTGTCGTTATGAAAAGAAGGAGAGGAGGAGGATGTGGTGTTATGGTTTGACTGACCACTTTGAAAGCATTCGTGGTCGCCGATGTGATTGGTTGATGGGCGGTTTGGGAGCAAGGAGAGGAGAGGTAGTTGCCTCTGCGTTTGCATTATTGGATAGCAGTTTCTGAAACGGAAAATTTAGCTGTAGGTCCGTTTGAAGTTAGTGTCAATGACTACCGTTTACATCCTGTCGTTTATGGTGTTTATTATCGTCGAAAAGGGCTTGAATGAAAACATTTCGTACGTCCGGGGGATTCTTACTGAGCCGTAATTATTATTATGAATTTGAACCGATGCATAAAGTCTACTATGTCAATCTGAGTGCTGTTAATTTCGATAAAACAGTGGGTTGCCAGACCTACTGAATATAAACTCTAAGTCAACCCCTATTTGACCAATATTTAGCGCTTTTTAAACGTGAAAATGATAATGACTAACGTTTCTGTCATGCCATTGCTAAGATTCCTTCGTGCTTCTAATTTCTACTGACCTCCTATGAGCTCATGAACGCTAGAAGTTGTATGAAAGTCTCATTCAGATATAAAAGGGACGACTTTCTAATACAAACATCCATATGTTTAATGAATGAAATCTCTTTTGTCTCTATCACTTAAGGGCTTTAAAAATTCAATTTATCTAATAATCTGTTTTCTCCAAGAGGTTTTTTTCTAAAAGAACTAAAACTGATTACATTGCTATTTTATATAATGACAAGTCTGGAAGATGCAGATAATTCACATACACCAATAACTCGGCTCGAAATGAGGGAGAGCACTTGTCATTTCCACACCTGCTGGTCTACGCTTTATTGTCTCCAGAGAGCTCTGCTCGTCATCCATTAAGCTCTGGTGCTACTAGTCTTTTGAAGGCACAGGGGGGGGGGAGATTTGATTTCGTCTCCAAATCCCCCTTCCCTCCCACCCCTTATACTGTCAGCCAATTTGGCCTTGGCTGCTTCGGGAATTTACGACCTACTTCCCATATATCTCTCTCTCACTGTCTCAAATAAGGGGGTGATTCATCGTGGGAAAGAAAATCTCTTTTATGAACTGTTAGCTGTGAGATCTCTGCTTAATCATGCGGGGAGGCATGCAATTAAATAACTAGACAGAGCTGGAAAAGGGCCTTGACCTCTCACCCTCTCCCCCCCTCATTCTGTTTGTCTCAAGGGTATAGGCTATCACTCAATAACCTTCGTGTATGAGTTTAAGTGTTTTGAGAAACGAAATTCAGATATTTCAGTTCGGTTGTTTTTAATGCAAGTTAGTCCAATTTCACAAGCTATTATCGATTAGGCCCAACAGATATATCAAATCTATACTTGACTCAAACCCATTGTGAGAGAAAGTAGACAGGCTACATATTTGAAACCTTGTTGTATTAAAGTTATTGACTTTGGAGGTCAGAATACCACCAAACTTCTCATGTTTTGTGTCTCCAATAATTATTCAGCGTTATAATGGTATGCGCGCCTGTATATTGATTAGGATTAGTGATTTAAAGACAACCTGTACAAATCGATAATTTAGATTGCAAATTTGGGCTTCATTTGTCGATTTGTCCTTTTATAAATGAAATATCGAGTTAGAATACACTATGGGTTGCATACGAGTTCATTCAAACAATGGGTTCAGAACATGTGGCCTCTTACCCTGAGAGTAATAAAGCTTCCTTCCTTTTTTATACAATTGGGCTTTCAATTTTAGGCTGAGTTAAGATGTGAGTATTTCCTATTGATGCAATTTTGGTCTCTAGACCGAACACCTTCAATTCAACTTCATACCAATCTTCAACTTGTCGATCTCAAAGTGATTAATTCTGTTTCAAGGTTAAGGTTTGTGGCGGGTCGAAGGATATTTGAATACCTAACTTCGCTGTATGCAAGATGGAGAAATCGCATGTGTTGTCCTGTATGCTGAGTCACATGCCCTTTTTATACCTCTCTTTCCCTCCCTCCCTCCCTTCCTACTACTGCCTAGTGTCTTTTTTCCTCTCAGAGACTCGGCGCCACTGCTTTTCTGCCGACACTACCTCTGCAGTCAGCCAGTGATTTACTGACTCCTGCTACTAACTGAATTTTGCAAACGTAACCGTGTGTTGTTTATCCAGTTTACTATACGATGTCTTATCTACTTCTAGCTATCTTACTGTTTGGAGGATAAGTGTGAGAACCTATTTTACTTCTATTTAGAGGTTTTATCTCTGCGTATCATTTATTGCATATAGGGTGTTAATCTATGCAACTCAATGGGGAGGCAGACGAGATCATCTTTGGTCTTTTTCTCTATCTCGTTCACTTCTCTCCTCATTCTCGTTCACGCCCTATGAAAACAGTGGGGGGTGGGGGTAGTGAGCCAATGAGCGCAAAGTATTGATCCTTTCCCCCTTTAATGGTCTGTCTGTTCTTGCTCTCTCCCTCTCCCCCCTTTCCCCCACCTCCTTCTCTCACCTCTTTTTGCCTCCCTCCTGCATCTCTCTCTCTCTGCATGACCACCCACTTGCACACAACCTTCCATCCAACAAACGCGAAAAGAGGGACACACATACGCACTCAAGCGTACTAACGGACACGGACGGTGGGCGTGCGGTGTGCAACCCCTCTCTTGCTTGTATAGAGGGTGGGGAGGAGGGTGATGAACGCATGCATACGCCTGGCTTCACTTGTGGTGCGGTGCTCTCTTCTGGTCTCCTTGGGTGGCCTGTGCATTCGCGTAGGCAAGCGGTTGCAGCAGTCTCCCTTTTTGGCTGGATAATGTGATCGACAATTGCGTTTCCAACGCTAATGGGAGCAATCCTACACTCATTGTTACAGTCAATTGATTTCTCCCTTTCCTATTGGGGTTTGTGAGGGATAGGAGCGGTACTCTAGTGTCCGTCATTCTTATTCCTCGTCCTAGTATGGTGGTGTCTCCAACAGGCAGAAAAAAATCAGCAACGAGGCCTACATTGAAAAAAAGAACTCCACTCATATACAAACACAATTCTGACTTCACTATTTTATTGGCAAGTCAGGTGGTTTCTGCGGGACTGTTCTTTTTACAGTCGAAACTCGTGTTATTTTGTCCACAGTGTACATTCTGTGATGACATTTTAGAAGTCGAACGTAGTAATCTAGTTTATAAACACTTAACTTCTGAATTGCACCTGGTCAGGTGGGACCATTAAGATATTGGTGACGTAATTTTTACTGGTTGACTTTTCCCCATAAGACTCTGTAGGCTGTTAATTTGATTGGCAAGCAATTAGATCTGTTTAGCCCGCGATGCTTGTTTATTAAACAGGTGTCATCGCGTTGTAATTGTGTCACGAATAGACATCTGGTTGTGCCTGGCTTTTCCCATGACAGGTGCAAGACAATTTCTTCAATCTAATGTGGGCACGTGAAGAACAGAAATTCGCTAAAATGGGAATGGGGTTTAACAAGGACAGGCTTCTCCCTGGTGTCCCCTCTATTGGAGTTGCTTTCTGTCACTTGTTCCATCTCATCCCATCATTTTTTCCTAGGCCGGGAGAGAAAGAGAGAGAACTGACGGACTGCCTGCCAGTTTCTCGCTCTCTCCTTCCCTTATTGCGCGATATCTCATCCTCTCCCCCTCCACTTTGCGCATTTTTTTCTCCCATGGGGATCATTCTAGTTCGCAGTAGGTTTGCGTTCGCTCTCTCGTTCACTCTCGTTCGGTTATCTCCTTTTACTGGTACATAATCACAACCACCTCACCCTTTCCTCCTCTTCTCTTTCACCCTCTCTTTTTTTGTGTGATTGATTGACTGCTTGTCAGATTTTGCCTGCCACCGTCGATAACACACTGCCAATGGTGAGTCTATGGTGAAGAAGCTCTTCAAGCTAGTGCACAAACGACAGACAGCATTTCTCTTTGCAATAACTACTCTTACAAATGGCCGATTGTGTCTTTCCCAGTGATTAGTTATTTGAGGAATTGACGTGAAATTATAATCAGTTTTTTGCCCTCTCTCTCCCCCCTCTCTTTAATATACCACTGCCTCGCCTAAGTCACCATTCTATTTGGTTAATATAACCGCCCAAGTGTATGCGTGTGATGAGGAAGGGCGTTTTACGTAAGAGAGCTGAGAGGTGGTCGTGGCCAAGTTATAATCCATCTATCTTACTCAAATTTATTTAGTTATTTATATCAAATGGCAGGCTTTTTTATGGTTATCATTAGCCCCTTAGTTGACTTCGGGCTTCACAGAGGGGAGGAGGTACATCAAAGTGAGAAAAATTCGAGTGGGGGAGCGGAAGAGAGATTCAAAGATGTAAAAGAGACAGATACAAAGGTAGAAAAAAGGTGAGGTGAGTACTGTAGAAGTAGTCGAATATGACATACAGTGGGGTGATGGTAGTTTGAAGTCAGAAGTCAACTACCGGTTTATAGACTTATTGCCGTATGAGTATACGTTGCCCAGGGTGCACCACGTGAAGAAGTAAGTCTATCGCGCACCCCATCTTACTCAAATTAACATTTGGCCTGTGTTAACGTTCGCATGTATTCTCGTGCTCTACTTGCTTTCATTTCAATGTTTGAGTTGATTGTTCTTCGAAAGAGAAAGAGTCTTCAGTTATTTAGTTGCAGACTTGGAGAAGGAATTTTTGGACAGCCAGTCCATTCAATTTTTGTGCAGTCTCTCTCTCAAGAAATAGTCATTCCCATAATGGTGGCATTGAATCCCATGTAAAATAAATCAATTTTTTGATTTTTGTAACTTATGACATTGCTTTTCTTCTCTTTTACTTAATCTACAAAAATATCTTTACGATGTAATATCGTTCTTCATTGAATGAATATCGATTGCCATTAATCTTTCAAGTCTTTAGTTTGCTTACTCAGATTCTGTGTGCGTGTGTGTGTGTGTAATGGGTTTTTAGATGCCCTTTAACAATGTCTTTATTAAACCAAATCAGCTGGAATTTTCGGTTCATGATCTAAGTCATAGGGGCAGAGAAATGGAAAATTTTCCCTTAGATTCATGTGGATCACTTTAGATTATAATGATGTATGGATGCCAAGTTTAAAAATTGCTCTAGTTTGGTTTTATCTCAAATCAACTTGATTTTGCTAATTCTACTCCAGATTCTGATTTCAGAGAGCTTATCTCTAATTTCTGCATAACATTGCCATTATGCACTATTTTGTTCTACTCGAATCTTGTTTTAGAAATCCAGTAGTAGTTCTGAGCTCTCCTTTCACCCTTACACGCTCTGTGTATGGATGGAGGTTTGAAGCGTTACATTTTTTCCCTCTAACCCGTTATTTGCCCCTTCCTTTCCTTCCCCTTATTTCAGTCTCCCTTCATTTTCTACCTCCTAATCCCCAACCTCCTACCCCACTCACCCTGCCTGTCTTTTGCTACGATCCACAATACGGACGAGCTTTGTGTTTAGACTGTGTGCGACAACACACACACGCACATACTGAGGCTATTTTTAGGTCCTCTAAGCTATTGCAGAAAGAGGGGGGGGGGGGAGGAAGAGGGGAGGAAATCCTTTCTGGTTGTTTATCAACTACAGCCTGATTAAGCGAAGGTTTGGGTTTCATTATTCCCAATGTAAGAGAGGATAGTTAAATTGATTACATAAGCTTTAGTCACTTCTGATTGGCATTCTCAAGGTCGATATTGTAATATTTATAAGACCTTGTGCTCTGGTTTCCTTCCCGTGATGTATTCCCATTTTTTCCTTTATTAAACGCAATTTTTATCATATTGTTTTTTCAGGGGTCAAATGATTCTTCAATGTATCCAACACCCTTGACACACCGTCAAACATCCTACTGTGGGGAGTCCGATGGTGGACTATTTGGAGCACGTGGTGGACCAATCGCTTCTATGTACAGCTCAAATGGAGTCGGAGATTACTACCACCAACAAATTCAAGCCCACACGGCAAATTCCCGGCAGCAAGTCCATCCTGATAGCTCAGTGGCTCCATCTTATTCCCAACAAGGTGGTGGTGAGTCAGATTCATGTTTAATGCAGGGGATACTTATTTGGTGTTCAATAGGACCGTGAAGTGCTGTATTGTCACGAGACTTGCCAATTTCTTTAGAATCTCGGCATGTAAGATGCATTTTTATGCTTACCAATTCGAGATCGCTTAATTAGCAAATGGTATAATGTTCAACATTTTCTCTGTTTAAAATTTTGTATAAGGTGCCATCATATTACCATTACTCTAGATTTTTTGCAGTAAGTTTAAAATTACTATAGAAACGCAAGCAAACATCTTACAATCTTTTTTTTCAAAAGATGGATCAAAATTAGAATTAAATTATAGAACGAATTACAGCTCAGGAGACGTGGTTTGAATTTTACACATAATGAATAATCGATAATTTCCTTAACCTAGGGCTTACCTGTTGTTCAAATAGCTTAGGGTTGAAATGTTCATTGACCTCTGTTAATGTCAGTTATTTCTTTTGTCTTGCTGAAACTCAAATTAGAGTGTTAATATTTTGGTAAATAGCTGTTTTGTCTGTATTCTTCCTTCGCTATAATTATTACGAATTTCACCTCCACTTTGCTAACTATAAGAGTGATCGATTTTCGAAGTCCAACTTCGTTATGTGTGATCCCGTTCAAAGCATCCACTTTGATACTAAATAATACCAGTACGTTCATTTTACCTTTAACCGCTGTATTCTCCAGTGCCATACGAGCATTTAAATTGATTCTTTCGATTTGTCCAACGCAAATGCACTCAACTGCTTAAAACTTTCGGAAGTTGCCAAGGCTTTAATTTTGTCGCTTCCTATGATGACTGGCGGATGATTAGCCATTTTTAAAGCCCATCTCACTCCTCTTCCTACTCCTTTATGCCCTTCTATACACATTCTAGTTACATGTACAACGTTATTTCCAAAAGAGGAATTATATTTTCACATTTGTACGCCATTTATAATGCCTTTTTTGAGTTCTCCTCATGAATTTGTGGGTCTCTGGCCTGTGCCCCTAGGATCAACTTAGATTCATTAGCTTTTCCCTTTACTCAGTTTTTAATAAATCTTTAATTTAGTATTTTTTCAATTCAATCAACTTCAAATCGAGTGGTGATTAATCCGATTTCTGGTAAATATGTATGCGAGAAATCGATTTTCTAAAAGAGATCTTATTATAGGTAAGTTCGGAGTCCAAACTCATGTCTACTATACCATAGAACCTCATCTCTTTATTACTCAACGTTTTCTTGAGTTCATTTTGTGCTTCTGTCACTATTTTATACTATGTTGGAATAATGTAAGTTTTTGATCAAAAATAATCTTCAAAAGATATAAATCATTCGCCTGGTTTCACTTGTGGTTAACTCTAACACATCGGAGTTAATTGGAAGAAAAGCCATAAAATTATCTAGGTCAGATAGTTAAGTAAGTGCCATTTCAGTGAACTTCCAAATCTTCGAAAGATTCAATTTCCTTCAAGTGGTAGAAATAAGATTGGGAAGGGAGTTCAGCTTCTCCGAACAGATCTACTTTTAACCAATCAATAATTGATTTGTGGAGTTGATTGCGTTTTTTTCGTAACTGTCTTACTTAGACAGAAGGGGACATAGGCTTTATTAGAGGAGTTTGGTGATGTTTAAATCGATTTAGAAAACGATTTTTAAAACTTCTTAAAAGTGAACGAAATAACATTCCTTATCTGCATATTCATGAGTGGGTCATTTTTTACCTTAACGAAGTTACATCTTTAAGCCAAAAAAATCAGAACTAAAGGCCTATTTCTGAGTAAATGGAAACGATGAGGCAGGTTGGAAAATGCCTAAAAGGAGTAAATTTCACCTTTCTGAGTTCGTCAGGGCTTAAATGACTGTCACGTAATTCCACATACCCAACTTGAACTCCACAAACACCCATTTACGCCCAATCTGAGAGGGGAAGAGAGCGAGGGGTAAATGGGAGGTACGCACACGCATAGCCATCCAAAACCCACACAAGAGGATAGTAGAACTACAAAAATCCCTCTTGCACACACAGCGACCAGGCCATCTAGCGTATGCGTATGTCACATGTTTTGCTGCTCCTTCTCTCCCTCTCCCTACCCTTACTCCCCCCCCCCTCCAGCCCCCCTTGGGCTTGGGTGCGCAAGTGTCAGCTTTACGTCCCTTGCTTCTTCTAGTAGAACGTCTGCACGCGGTCTACATCCGGTCGCTTGTGTCCCCATACATATATACCCATTGCGTGCATGCACTTATGTGTCTGTCTCACCACACTGCCTGTCTGTATCACTCTAGATAGACGGACAGATAAATAGTGTTTCGTGCAGTGTTGCCTATGTTCTCTTCACAACGTCCGCTGGCTTTAGCGTGTATGTGGTTTGTCTGTCCTCACTCGGAGGATGGTTGGAGGGGGGGGGGAGGGGGTAGAGTGCTAGGGCAGAGAGCGAAAGAGGTAGGCAGCCAAGCCGCGATAAATCATTCATGCACGCCCCGCCGCAGATGGGGAGAGGAGGGCGGGATGTGATTTGATGCGTCGCCGTCGCTGTGTCCGCTGCGGCGGCTGCCCACAAATGTGGCGGCGTGGCTGTGGTGATGGCGTAAGGTGGGGGCTGGAGAAACTAGCAGCTGGCTCGTCCCAACAATCTCTTTGCCCCTACCCTGCCTACACATTCATGCTGCCCGGGATTAACACCGCTCTTGGTCTCTTGGTCTAAAGAGAAAGGGGCGAATGAACAGAATGTGATTTAGAATTGCTAAGTTAGTCCATCGTAGAAATTGTTACACCATGCAGGAGGAGTGAATTCTCTTAGTCGTCCCCTTTTTTTTCGCTAGAGCTATAATGAACATGAAGTTTTATTAGTAGTGTTACAACGGCGTTTGTATCACAACGGCCAAATGCAGAATGTTCGCCCTAATGCCCGACGCGATGTTGTGTCAATGTGTATGTTAGTCCTACTGTCTACCACTTTACTGAGTGCAAGGCGAGGATAATATGTACTTTTACATTCTACCTAAATTTAAAAGAGAGTAGCTGTTTTCCTCTTTCCAATTTTTACCGTTAAATGGATTCTTAGTAAATAAAATACGTCATGAGAGAGTGGTCATTTTCGCCCCCCCCCCCAACTACTTTTTTCCGTTTATAAAATTTCACTGAACTATTTAGTCGATTTTATGGCATATAATTGGTTTGTGGCAAGTGGAGGTGGAAACTTCGTAAAATATTAGCAAACATCCATAATACCACTAGTTATGGTCTTAGCTTCAGCATGGTAGAAATTCACATTTTTTGCGGATTAAATGGAAGATTTATCCCTTTCTAACATTTTGAAGTCTTCTATGCCGGGAAACAATAGGAGATACAGTTGAATTTATCGAACCTAAACATTTTTCCCACGTTCGTAGATTCAAACCATTTTAGAAAGTCTCTTGTAAACCACATCTGTGGAAAATTGACATAGTGATCTGAGTCTTAAGATGTTCTAAAATTGTGTATAGTTTCCTGAACTTAGGCCAATGGGTTTAACAATCTTCTTTAATTTGTCGTTTATTGAATTTTCAAAGTTAAGCTGATTTTCGTGCTTTTGGAAAGTGATTAGCCCATGTAAAGTAAGTTAATTAACTTATTAGGGTTTAACTGGCTTACTGGCATAACGTAGTTAGTTATTTGATTATCCGATGCGAAATGATTTTATCGATTGCATTTACAAACACATATTAAGCCTCCATGTGCGCATATGGATTAGCTATGTGATCACATTATATATAAATATAAATATATAAATTTATATAAAAGCACATAAGTAGTAGGCGACAGGCAGTTGGGAAGGTAGATAGTTAGATAAGAGGCTTACAGCCAACTAGCTGGCCAGTTAACCTAGCCTAGTCCAGTCAGCCAAGTTGGGTTAAAAATAGCGGCAACCACACAGCTCTCTCTCTCTCTCTCTTGTCTTGCCTTCTTTTCCTCCCAACACACACTGTCGTTCTCTTTCTCTCACCCAGCCATTCTTTCGTCCATTCATTTTCTTTTCTCACCAACCTCCTCTTCCCTTTTCTCCCCCTCATTTCCCTTTTAAGAGAGCAGGGGAAGCTGTATAAACATCGTTATTTTCTCTCTCTCTCTCTCTCCCTCCCTCTCTCTCATTCTTCCATTTCCCTCCACTATACCAGAACCAGAAAGATAATTGAAGCTTCTTAAGCAAAGCTGATCTTAAATTTCCCTCCACTTTCTTCTGGTTGGTTTAATTTTTTATTACGTATGTATTTTGCAAATTTTATAAATTTTCTTAATGTAACATTTTTTTAATTTTTGTATTTATGATCTAAACTAGTAAGCGAAAATATTTAATATTTAATCTTCACATTTTAAGTAGGCCGTCGGTTAAAATTTAGCTCACGAAAGATAAAACGGTTATCTGCCACAGGTCACTGAAGCCTGGCGGATATTCTGTCTTTTTCAAATGACATTTACAGTTGTCTCACCTAAGTTGGCACTTTATAGGAGAGTGGGTTAAATTATTACGCGAGAAAACGACCCAGACAGCCGATGTCATAGAAATAATTCATTTTTAGGCTCAAGTCTGCACTCTTATGGAGGTGGTCAGTTGGATCTCTCCGTATCTACAGGGAATCGATCCTTTCAACATCAGCAGTCGCAACAGGCTGCTGCGAATTCCCCCTATGGGGCAGATTCGGGCCAATCTCGGTTCACATACGAGGAACAGCCTGAACAGCCCGTTTACTACAATGTAAATCCCCGTTCCAGTGGCGGCAATTCGGTGTCTGCCGCTGGATTACCCCCGCCTTTGGGCGTGTATGAACAAAATTACCGCAATTGCTATCAAAATAACCCGGCCTCTATGACTGCGGCGGCAGTTGCAGCTGCCTACAATTACCATTATCAACAACAGCAGCAGAATCAGATACACCAACAGCAGGAATCGGAATCATCCTACGATCACCACCATCGAAATGCGCAACAACACCCGTCCTATGACTATGTGCACAATCGATATACTTTTTGATCGGCATTGACGCTATGCCAGAAGGATTAAAAGTAATAAAAGTAGTCCATTTCCACCTCCTGTCACTACAAAGTCGTGTACATTATGATGCTTTGCTGTAGTGGAACTTCCATCTCTCAATTCTTCCTCCTCCCAAGACCCAGATGTGCAATATTCTGACTGACGATAAGATTTAGAACCCTCGTAATCTCTCCTCCCTCCGTGTATCATAGTGTTGCGTGCTTTGCAATACAATACTGAAAATCACTCCCTATATATCGTGTTCACTCTCTGCTCCTCTCCCTTATCTCTAAATGACCGACTCTTCTGCTGTCTCCCAGTCTCTCAAGGTCATGTACGTGTGTTATACCTTTTCCCTATCCGTCTTTTGGTGTCTGTCTGTGTGTATGCATGTTTGTTTGTGAATTCAACCATACAAACAAACTCATTGTGTGTATAAAACCAGGGGAATCGAAGTGATGAAGATACTACTGATAATATACTACTAATATTTGTAATCGGATGTTGAGGTGTGTGACTCACGATCCTGATAATGATTGTGAATTTACGCACCCCTATGAAATTCTGTACGTTTCCCCTCATCTATTCACCTCGAAATATAAAATTCTACTATCACTACCTTCACTCAATCACTCACTCAAGGTTCTCCGTGTTTGAATTTGGAACTTCTCTCTTTCGATCTTTCTCTGCCCCCAATCTTGAAATTGATGATCCCGTCTATCACCGGTATCCTATATAAAATCTCTCACTGAGAATCCATTTGTTCCGCAGTCTCCTATTCCCCCCCCCCCTCCCTTATTCCCTCTATATCACTCACTACATAATTGCGCATATATCGACTATAAATTGGTATTCACATATAATGCTTATGCTATTGGTTTGGGTCTCTCAATACTGGCAATTTATATCTATGGAGAAAAACCTAGAGCAAGTAGATTGAAGTAGCTTCGATCCTTTTACTAGGATTATTTTGGAAGGGCAGACATGAAGTAGTATACACAGCTAGTGGGTATGGTGTTGATTTCATTATGCTCTATGACATTCTTGTTGGATGAAACGAGGATGATAGGTCTAATCAAATAAAGCAGTAATTTCATCTAACAAGTAGTTGTAACCATGATTGGGGCATTGAAGGCGCCGAACATTGTTCAACATTGCGATTCCAACTAGCGAGCTTCTAGCACACGCTAAAGAGAGATCAAATAATGCGCCGGTCCAAGTTAAGAGGGTTCAATCCAAAAGGCTTGTGGATGTAGGGCTTGAAGCGGCGAAAAGGAATAAATTTAAATGACAAAAGAAGCTTGTAGAAATACTCACATATTGGGTGGATGTTAACAAGGAGAAGGGGTCACAAATGAGGCATAGAAGGTGGAAAACTCGCTTAGTTAGGCCTCACAAGCTTCACAATAAGGTAGGTAAGAGAGATCAGTGAAATCGGGGAAGTGGTAGGTAAGAACTCACTTCTTGTTTAGTGCACTGAAAGTCCTGTGAGTGTGTGGGAGTTTGTGAGTTAACTAGAGAAAGTTGATAAGTAAAAGCGCTAGGGAGAAAAGCTCCTCTATGGCGTGGAAATGCTTGGGGGCCGTTTTTACAACTTATTCAGATCCAGTGAAATAGAAGGAATTGATCAACAAGAGACAAAACAACGATCGTGCACCTTTAAGCCCTGTATGTGTTTCCTGTAGGGAAGAGAAGATGAAATTTGTATGAAGCTGCAACTAATTTGCAAAAATAAATACATTGATTATGAGTAATGGTATGAATAATCGATAGTACAGAGTTAGACTCAATGAATTGACAACCGATTGATACGTAGTTACTACAACTACTCGAAGTACAAGCTATGAGTTCACGAATTTTAAAATAGTCCTCGTTAAAGAGGAATTATTGATTTCTCAATTCTACTTATTACTGGGGTCATGAAAAGGGCAAATTGGAATATGCAGCTTTGAAATATGGTTATCTGCGTGGCTTTAGCTACTATTACGGGAATCTCATTGCTACTACTAACTTAATTCCTTCACTCATATTTTTAAGTTCTCTTTTAAAGCCTACTTTTCAAGCTTATTCAATGGAACTTGAAGAAGGTAGAGGTTTTCATGAACTAAGATTTGCACTCCGTCGCATTTCATTAATCTAATTCAGTTCAAATTTGACCTTACCCTTAAGAAAGCGTAGCCGAATTGATGAGAATAATAAGATCGGGTGGTGGCACCATCTCCTTATTTGAAGGTCGGATAATTTTCTCAATGTGGCACTTTTATATTAGTTCATCACTCCGTGCCAGAGAGGCTGTTGCAATATCAACCGCAATTTTTCTTCTTTTAATTTTCAAAAAACTCCTCTTTGGCTGGCGACTAAAGCGCAGATAAAAAGCAAAGTATTTAAACGTAAAGGCGTTGGTATTGAGTATGCCAATCGATTAGTGAGCAAAAAAATAAACCAATCTTAATAAGCTCCTTTAGCTCATTTTTGTCTGAGACGATAGCTTACTTGTGTTCTATTCTTTTGGAGATAAATGAACATCTCTTTTATCGTTATTGAAATTGGTAATACTACGGAGAAAGTGTTAAGTAGCTTCATAAGAAAAATTATCTGAAGCTGCTCAAGACTTCCGAAAGTTTCTCTCTCTCTCGCTATTCTTGGCGATCTTTGTGCAGAACTGAGTATATGCACTTTTGTGGTGATACTTCGCCATCATTTCACTTGAACAGTTGACTCCAGCTTCAGAGTTGGCCAACAACCTAACACGTACCTAAAAAATTTAAACATCTGAGGATATTCGATTACCCCCCTGATTAAAGAGAACGGACAATACATGTCCGTTAATGCAAGAACCTATTCGTAACCACTAAGGTGTAACTTATTTATTTATATCAAAAAACAGGCTTTATGATAATTATTATTAGCTCCTTAGTCAACTTTGAGCTTCATAGAGGGGAACGGACAAAGTCACAAAAAATCGAGAATTGGGATGGAAGAATGATTTACAGTTTCAAAAGTGGCAGACACAATGATAAAGAAAAATAAAAGAGGTAAGATGAGTACCGTGAAAGTGGGCGAATATGACCTACAATGAGGTCACGGTAGTTTAAAGTCAGAAATGGACATTATAGACTTTTTTGCCATACGATTATACGTTGTCTAGGGTGCATCACGTGGAGGTAAGTCTATCTCACACCCTAGTAAGGTGTAACTAATATGAGGTATTTCGGATGGTTCAGAATGCCCAATGATGAAATCCGTTTTTTTTAGAAAGGGCATAGTTGTTGGCCTTGGGTATCGTAGTTAGTACCTCCTTTTTATTTCCGCTCAATCGCACTCAAATACGACGTCCCTACCTGCCTATAATTAGCTACCACCCTCTCACTCTCTCGTCCGCTTGACTGCTCCCAATTAAGCCCATCCCTCGTTTGCTTACTCAACCCGATCCAATTAAGTTACTTGCTCTTTTTGCATTAAAGAGTGCAACCTACTATGTGGACAAAAAAACCGGTTGGTTAATACGATTAAAAAGAATGCTATTGCAGGTTGTAATCATGCTATAGTGCCCGAGTGCACAGATTTGTAAAACAGGATTGAAAAGAAGCAATGGAGGGCGTCTGAGATGCCCATTTCCTAAAAAGGGCATAATTCGATTTATAGTATCTCCAAACACTACGACGCTCAAGTTTCATGACTTAATTCTTGGGTCTTCGGACGAGTGCATTTCCGCGCTATTCATGACTTCGTGATAAATTGATTTACCTGAAGGCTTAGTCATGCCACTTTAATGTATGCATCCTTCCAATTACGACGAATCTGCGGATGCTATTACATTCATGTTCTTATTTCTTGTCTGGGGTGTTCTCCAAGAACAGTTTGAGATTTTGAAGAAAGTATCTTCTAGTGATTATTGCGGTAGCATCGTGTTAGATATTGCTCAGTATTTATTTAATTTTACGTGAAACTGTCATAATTTTCCACAGCAGTGCAAAACAAAGTTGTACTAAGGTGGAGTCGCATGAATACCAGGAATAGTTAAGCAGTCTCAGAGGGTTTTGATCAGTGCCAGTCCGGAAGGATTTTGAGTCCCTCAGTTTGTCTACCAATCACTTACTGTCATTGTATATCATTCCATAAAGAAAAGTCAACAATTCAACCACTTGGATATATTAATTGGGTTCACGAGAGTACGCCTCTTCCCTTCTCCCCCCAGATAGGCAAAAACGGTTGGTAGATATTGGGAGATTAAGACACAATTATGACCTCTACCTAATCACTAAGTTTATAGCTTGAATAACAGAATTAAGCATACGCGTCATTGGTTTATATTCAAGTAATACAAATTATTGATGGTAAGTTGAATATATATTAATGAGAATTCGAGCAAAAACGGCAGGCTCACTGTTGAACAAAGATCTCAAGAGCTCGTTTTTCAGTTGTCACAAGTCTTTCAAATGCCCGGTCGACTTGACACTTATCTAATGTCTATACTATAAAAGTCATAGGTCTGATGCCAACCCCTAATGAAGGTAAGTCAATCTCTACACCTGGAAACAAGTAGGTTTACTTAAATGAAAGAATGCATTGATATACATCGCATTGCACTTAAAATAAAGCTTAATGAAGAAGGAAGAAAGGAAAGTTCGGGCGTTTTGGTCTTAATACCAAGCGGTTAAAGGGTTCTTTAGCTTGAAAAACACCATTCCACCGAATGTCCGGAAACGCAATGATTTGAGCAAAGTTGTCTAGTTACCTGTTGATAATTGTTGTAAATTCTGGTTGTCGTAAGTAATGACTCACATTCATTCATATTTAATAATGGTATCAAAACGAATGATACTTTTATACCTCAAATGGTTTGATTTCGCTTTCGATAATTTATCAAGTTCATAATCTAATTGCCTAATATATAGTTTAAGCAAGAACACTGAAAAGTAAGTTTGGTGCCGTGATTCTCGAAAATACCATTTATTACAGTGACGTTATGGGGGAATCTAAAATATGCAGCATGTGGT